ATCAAAATATAGAAAATAAAAATAAAATAAGAAATAGGAATTTACAAAAGGGTCTTTGGTCTAGCAGTATGTGAGTTCTTAGCCTCCTAGGAGGTTAAAGATTCAAACTTCACCAAAGATAAAAAAAAAGTGTATGAGTTTATTTGTTCTATCTATAGTATATAAATATTATATACTTCAAAAAAAAATAAGAATTTGAGAAAAGTAAACCGAGAATTTAAAGAGAATAAAATACTTATGAATGTGATTTTATGAATAAGATATAAATGTTTAGGTTTTTATATTTTTAAATATTATTTGTTAATATTTATTTAGATTGATTATTTGATATTAAAAAAAACACTAACAACTCATACAAATAAATTAATTATTTTATCAGTTTTATTCTATCTAATCGTATCTTATCAAACAGTATTATATTATATCTTATTCTGTCATATTTTATCATATCAAACACACCCAAAAACAACAACAACAACAAAAAAAAAAAAAAAAAAATTGCAGATATTACATATAAAATTTTAAACTACGTGTTCTAGAAGAAAATATATAAAAAAACTCAATACCGTGCAAACCACAGCATGGACTCAAGAAAGGATATAATTTAAAATGGAGCACAGCTTGAAAGTTGAATCTTACAGAACAATAGTTCAAATTCATCCATTATAATTTAAAATTTATGGGTTATTTGTTTACCTCTTAATAGTTCCATTAAGAGATAACATCTGAAAAATTAAGAGGTGAATATTGTTTGACAAAAAAAAAGACTGTCTCTTAATGGTTTTAAAACCCTCTGAATGATTTTGAATTTTGGGTCTCTCTTAACCATCTAACATCCTAATTTCATTCTAAATAATTACTAAATAATTATATTTTATTTTGCACTATATTATAAGAGTCTTTTAATCATTATGACCACTTAATCATTTTGTACCAAACCATTGTCAAACAACCCGTTAGAGATGATATCTACATTTAGCAAGTATGCAACGAGCGGTAAAAGATCGTATGAGAAAGAGAGTTAAGGTGAGAAACGTAAGAAGGGACCTGAACCTTTGATCACATTTAATCTCAAACCACCCATTAATCGCGTTTGATACAAAGATTGATCCGGTGCATCTCATCCTAATGTGTATCTAAGAGTGGAGATCCCTTCTTACGCTTCTCACCTTTAACTTTGCTTCTCACCGGAACCCAACCCTACAATGAGCATACATCAAACATATATTTTTACATGTATATAACTACTATCAAAGCATGCTCTAGAATCTTTCTTATTTGGGGTTCAGAGCCCAAATACTTTGACCTTCTAATATCAGAAGGAGCCCTGTGCTTGGTTCTGGATATCGAGTAGCGGATACAATCCTGACCCTTTTATCATACACACGAAACTTCAAGAACAAACCAATTGGAGTCATCATCCAGGTTATCGGTAGATTTCAACCGTCAAAATATCAAAGGTTCAAATTTCATTGGTGTTAAGATATATATATATATATATATATATATAGGGAGCGATCAAATGAAAATCACTCAATTTGTAAAACCGTAAAAACCCCATTCCATCAATCATAATTTTCATTTTGTTCATTTTTTGTAATTATAAGAGATTGATTAATCATTTTTATTGTGGAGGATGTTAATCATGGATATTATCATCTTCATTATTTTAATTTTAGAGAAATACATGAAACAGTTTCATTTAAATTTCATTAAGTAGTATATGAAACAATTCTATAACCATATATGAAACAACTTCATCAAAAAAAGTATTATATGAAACAATTTCACAAGATTAAACAATTTCATGAAAAAATTTCATAAGATTACGACGGATGAGAGTAGCTAGTTTTTACGGTTTTTACAAATTGGAGTGTTTTCATTTGATCACTCCTCTCTCTCTCTCTATATATATATATATGTGTATATATGATATCAATATTAAAAATAACTTGCAGAAAAGAAGAAGGTGAAAGCTAACCACCTTTGTAACGTTGCCCCTCGTACGTCTAGAAAGGGGACGCTTTATGGTGTCATGAGTATATGAGACATATAATAGCCGACAAATAAAGGCCATGATGGGTTGTTACAGGATCATATCAATCTACTAAATCTCTAATATTTCCAATAGCAAACCTAACACTCGAGTTTACAATGTATCACCCGTCCCCACATTCATTGCACGCGTGTTTTCTCTTCCTAAGATCATCACAACCTCGGTTTGGTTCATCGACACATTCTCGTCCGAATACAAGACTCTTTTCGCCAACCCGAAAGATATTTTATGGGAGTAACAAATCCGTATGATGTGTTATGTTGGATATTTTCACTCAATGACAACAACATGAAGATGCAGACCACACCACCAAGTGACAATGACTGCTACCAAGGTGATGTCGACGACGTCATAGTGAGTTTGAAGGAGTCGAGAGGAAGACGCGGTCAAGCCAACGTACATCCTAGGACTCGAGGACTGTGATCACCACTCTGATATTTTTTATTCAAGCCAACTTCATTATTTATTAGTGGATCGTTGAATTTACGTCACTTGTGGTTTTTATCCCCGGGATTTTTCGTGTCAACGGATCGTTACATGTTCTTTATTTATTCTTTGTTTATTCCAAACCCATCAACAACTTAATTATCTTGTCGTTGGAACTCAAACCTCACTTAATGAAATTTGGTCAAAGCAATGTGCAACGGACCCAAGGGCAAAGGTTCAAGAGGAGGATGCAACAAACTCGCTAAAGTAAATTGGTACACAAGACCAGCAGACATAACATAATTAGAAAAAGAATAAGGGAAATTGATTCAAATAACGATTTTTAACACTCAAATTGGTCTTATAACCATTTCTTTTCCGAATTTACCTAAATGTCACTACTTTCGTAATATTCATGTCCGTAATATTAGCTAAAAGACAAAAAAGTTAAAATTCAACACAAATCTGCAATTACCATTTGGGTAAATCCGAGAAAAAAATGATCATTTAAATCAATTTTTAAAAAATGTACGTTCGAAATGAAACAAGATGAAACTAGATGTATTTTTTGTGAGGGAACAAGGTGGGATAGTTTAACAACAAAATCAAAAACAATTTTGTCATTCTTTTTGTTTTTCCACACAATATCTCACGATTATCTTATATTATATTTATCTTGTATATAATATAAATATCCTTTTTATCGATATATAATATGAAATATTCTAGATAAATAATATATATATATATATATATATATATATATATACACACACACATATAATGAATATAATACTATATTGTATGTTACGTCTATTTATCTACAGTATAATAGTTTCTACAGTATAATATAATATATTATACTTTATACATATGTAATATATGAAATATTATACGTATAGTCAATGAAAACGTTGAATATCTTGAGAATATAGAAAAAGAGTGTTAAAAGAATCTTCATTATGATTATTTAAAAAATCATTTTGAAGATTTATATGGAAATTCATATGAATAATAAATAACGTTGATTCGCATATGTATTTTTAAATAAAAAATTGAATTTTTCAATGGATTCACATAAATCTTTCATTAAACTTCTTTTCTATCTTCTCACGATATTTATCTTTCATATTTGAACTGATACCTATATCATATGTACATGTATTATGTATAAATTTTTATTAAAATTATTTAAATATTACTTGACCTATCTCCTTTATAATTACTATACGTCAAAAATCATAAAGAACACTTTAAGAATTGCTAACTAAGGTAAATGTCTTATTATCACTACTTAAAAACAGAGTATCCACGACGGAAAAAATCTCTTGCAGATCAGTGATGGATCAGGGACGAATTGGCCAAAAACCAGTTTCCTCGCTAAATTCCGCCACTGATAGCATTACCAAAGAGCTTTTGACCAACAAACGATCAGCGAACAAGTGAGGCCCATAACGACGGATTTACAAGGGATTTTTCCGTCACTGATACTCTTATTTTTGTAGTGGTAGGAAAAATCTAGTTCATATTAACATACTTTTTGTCATATATAAATTTTACTACACACTAAATAAACAACTAGTGCGTTAAGTTTCATAATGTACAGTTCACCTACAAAACGCATCTTTGTGGATTTTTGGAGAGAAACAAGAACAATATGAACGACTTCTTGCTTTGAGTATTCACAAGGATATGGCAAAATAGAACCCACAAGGCCGTGACCATTAGGTTCAAGAAGTCGGGTGGGTTTAAATGAGAGCATCACTATTTTACAAAAATACAGAACACCCATATCTGGTGATGTGCATGCATCTCTGATTTAGTATCATAGGGTTACGTGTGTTCTCATATTTTTATGATGGTATTCTCGTTTAGACTCACCACAAAAAGGTAAATTTACATTTAGCACATGTATGCAAGGGGGTTTATCTGCACGTGTGCCCTTTTTTGAGATAAGTGGACTATTAGGGCCGACGTAATATGTCAAAATAGTTATCAACATGAACAAGTGGGAGAGCAGGTAGAGCAAACAAAGAGAAGAGATAAACACACCAATCTAATCATCGCCTTCCATGCTTGCTTTCCCTTTTGGAGGTGGCACCAAATGTCAAATCTTGTATCCTAGTTTTCTGTTCGCTACATAAAAAGAAAGATACATCTAGATCGAAAAATAAACAAGAAGGCAAGCAGGGTCCCATTTCAATTCTACTTGGCATCAAGTAAATAGTAAATGGGAATACTAAATGTTGAATGGGTTAAATGTATGACCATAAAGACGATCCTAAGTAGCACATGGGGGCTATGATATGCAAACATGAAGCATCAGCTCGTTGTCCCATAGATTACTGACCATGGGACCAAATAAGTTGATCTTTACACAACTGTCCAGCCAAACCTTTGTTATTTTCTTTATGTTTCTCTTCACCTGCCATGAATTTGACCTTCAACCCATCCACACAGACTTTTTAACCATCACCATTACCATAAGAAGCCCATTTTTCTTGACAGAGAATTGAGTGATCACCGAACCCTCTACGACTGAAACAATGAAGGTAAGGTCTAATTCTATTGAAGTTGATCAGTAATACAATGTAACCCTTCACTGACTCATGCTTGCATGTCTTCATGGCAGCTGCTAGACTGGATGAATCGCAAGTTTCGCAATGGCGAGCCACTAAAAGAATTTTCTACAGGTGTGGTTTAATTTGATGAACATGTTTGTTATATGTTTCTTGATTCATAGAGATTGTTTTTGTTGGAATCCTACCTAGTTATGGCTATTTTGGAGAGTGTGTTATCTAATGGGGTTCCACATATTTTCACATGGTATTGGAGCCAAGGTGTACCACTCTAGCTAGGGACTTGACACTTTGTGGCACTCTTAACTCGTTAGTCCCCTCTAGTGTCCGTTTAGCCTCCATTGGAGGCGGCGTGTTGGAGTACTATATCGACTAGATTTGGATCATTTCTCCTCAATATATGTTGGGACCTCTCTACTCGTCTCAATGGCTCTTTTGGAGAGTACGTAATTTAATGAGGTTCCACATATTCTCACAGTTTTGATGTTTTATATGGGTGATGAACAGGGAACCCTTGCACTTGTCTTATGGGGCAGCCATCACTTGATGACTTTGAGTACTATCCTAAATCAAACTATTATGCCAAACCATCGAGCAAAGCACGAGAAACCAATCACCGAAAATCATTTGCATGCCTAGAGGCAGTAAGAGGTGATGATGAAAGCATGGAAGACGCATCTGCTGCTCTTTCTGTACTCTTTCATGGATTTTTGGCAATTGGGACTCTTGGAACAGATCCAGTTACCAGTGATCCTGCAACACCAACTTTTTCAACCTCAGTCGAGTATATTATGGAAAAAGAAACTGAAGCAACAGAAAATGAACTGCAATTCATTAATGATGAGTTGGAGAAGGTGTTGGGTGGTGAAGGAAGAGAAGATGACTCATCTGGGAGAAACAGTCATGTTAGCATCGGAAGAAGCAGCCATGGCAGCACAATTACACTTAGTGGCAAGCCTTTAGAAGCTGCAGATAATGAAAACGGAGCAGTTGCTTGTCCGCTCCAGGGTTATCTGTTTGGTTCAGCAATTGAACTGACAGAAACAACCACAGGAAAGAAAGAACATAGAACATCACTAGGGGAGTTGTTTCAAAAAACTAAATTGGCAGAGGAAAATACTGGACCAAAATGCAACAGGGTAGAAAAGCAGAAGGAGAAAGAAACTGACAAATCTGCTGTTCACTTGATGAAAAAGATACTGAAAGGAAGAAAAGCTTCTGGAGGAACCATTGATACTGCTTCAGCTGACAAGAAACACAAGGTATATGTATTTAAGCTTTATGTAACTCATAGCACCACATGTCTGAATCGCATGACATTGAATAGAAAAACTGAATGGATCATAAGACAGTGATCCAAGAAATATAGCATGTCGAATAACATGCGGATTTTTACTTCGACATGAAACTGTTTAGTTTTTAGTTAAGTTCCCTAATCTCTAACGTAAGACTTGCAGATCCTACAAATGTTCCAGAGGAAAGTTCATCCTGAAAGGACAAAATCACAAAATCAGTCTAAGTATGCGGCAAATGGCACCTATGTCAATGAGGATGGATATAAAAAAAGAAACCAAATGCTGTCTGGGGAAGATATAACTACATTTTCTGAGAGCGAAATTTCTAAAAAGAGTGCAAACAACACAAGAAGCAACATGCCCCAGGCTACATGTGGTGCCAGTGATTCAAATGGGAACAGAGAATGCTGGATCAAATCAGATGCAGAGTGTAAGTATACAAAACACTATCTGCTATTATTTGCTTCCACACTCTAAGAAAGGCTTCATATTTTTTACTGAGCCAAGGCCATGTGAAAAATCTTATCAAAAACAGAAACCTCTCCACAGTCCCAAAGTTACGATATGTCCATTCAAACTGCTTCATCACTAACTTAAGAAATATCCTCAACCAGATTGAAAAGAGAACATGTATTTCATCTGAATGAGATAGTAACAAGTGAACATGTAGAGGGCACCACATACTTCTTAGGTATTTGAAACCAGCATACTTTGGACATTGATATGCTAAAACTAAAGGACATAATTCATGCAAGTTGACAACAACTAAGGATTGGGCTGGCAAATATAGAATAAGATCAGTTGCAGAAGGAAAACTTCAGTACTTAATTTATTGGATTGCAGAACTGATTAACTATAAATCTGTGTGATCCTGCCGCTTCGCCTTTGTTGTTGGGTGCAAGTTTATAGCAAAGACGAACTTCTACTATAGTTCTTGGTTTAAATATGAAGCAACAAAAAGAATTTAAGATATAATTACATGAGGCAGAGGTTACGGCATTCAAATGCTGCACTTTTGCATATGGGAACACGAAATGGAGAGTGAGATTGTTTGATGATAAGGCCATTAATTAGGTCTCTTTTTTAAGTTCTGCCATAGTCTCTGTAAATATACTGGACCCTTTTATTTTGCTTCTCCTTTTTCCATTTTGTTCTTGTGGTGGGGATTGAGCATGGTTCGATTGTGACCTTACTCAAACATAGCATAATAACTACTCTTACCACAATGCGTTCTACTCCCAAGGCAACCAAAACCTTTTTTATAGAAATCAAAAACATCCAATACAACTATGTTCTGCATTCTTCAGCATACATGAGTATGGCAGAACATTGGGGCTTTTAGTTGCATACCAATGTGCTCCAGAATACTGTCTGAATTGATGGAACTATAAAATGTGTGCAAGGTCAAGGAGACTGTAAGGAGGTCTCTTAAGATATTATGCCTAACTCATTATTCATGTTTCCTGTCAGACCTGGTGTTGGAACTGTAGAAGACAAACAAAGCAGTAAGGGATGTTGCAGTTGGTTGAATTCTGCCCAAGAAAACATATATATCTGTATGAACCCTTTTATTGGTAAGTATGATAAAGATGTTTTGAGTCTTGTGTGATAGTAAGTTTGTGATGAAAAGACAATAAAAAATTGCCCCTTCCTTGTATTCAAGCATGAGCTATGTATAAAACATCAAAACTAAAAGTGTATGCTTTCAGAAATTCTTGAACTAATGATTAATATGTACTTTAGTGATGTTTGATTCAGATGCAATGAAATCTGTATAAAAGAATTAAAGCAGCTTGAAGCAACTTACTGAGAAGCAAATGCGCATTTAAAGATACTTAATATGCCAAATACTCTCTGTTTCGGATACTGTTAAGCCCTGGATTTATAGAGACTTAGAACGGAGAGACAACAATTTGTCACAGTTTCATATATTCATGTGCTTCTCAGGGTCTTAACATGACTTGCAAACATGTGATAGACTCGTGAATTTGAAGATAAAATCATGGAGAGATACCAAGGTCCAAGGCTATAGCATATCTATAGACAGATGATGAAGACATTAGGAATTTTCAACAAAAATGGTGTTTATCCTGATCAAATCCGCATAACTTCTTACATATGATTACATGTTTGGTGGTTTAAAGGAGATTGTTGAAGCTACACACCAAATTATTCCTGCTCCAGGTTAGAGGTAGATTATAAGTGTAGACTAAGAGGAAAAAAAACATGAAACACACTAACACAGTGGAAGTAATGAAGGTGAGGGGGGTGATGCTATTTGAATGAACACGATGCACTAAAATCTTGCAAGTTTCATGGCGAAGAGGGGGGGGGTATAAATGTATGATATGTATATATATATATATATATATATAKAGAGAGAGAGAGAGAGAGAGAGAGAGAGAGAGAGAGAGAGGGCTATGGATTAGAAGCCATGACCTTCAATGTGTTACCACCAAAGATGAGTACAAATACCAGTAACATAAATGCTTATGGCATATATTAATATTAGAGCGATAATGGTGTTTGCAATTTTTCCCTTGCCTAACTCTTTACAAAGAGAACCAACAATTTTTATAGAAGATGCATATATTCCCTCTGATCCAAGATTCATGCCTAGACACATTGTGTAGTAAGAACATGAACATCCAACAGGAAAAGTAATAATTTTGTATTGCAACTTTGAAATGTTGCATTTATGTTTGGGTAGATTGAGTATGTAGCTCCAACAAGGAATATCAGTTGAACTTTAAAATGGCACCTAATTATCAGAGGGCACATAAGGGCTTTCGAATGTAGTAAAATGTCCAAAGTAAAATTCAAATACAAGATTAAGATAAATGTATCGATACCATACTACATACATAACCTATATATACACATCGAAATTCCATGGATGTAGAAATGCATACATTGATCTAAATATCGATTCTAGAACAAGAGTGAGAGATGAACTTGCCTTGAATTCAGGGTTATATCATAAAATTGAGACATCGATCGTAGAAGGATCGGAAAAGAATTTCAAATAGTGATCGATTATTCATATTCGTAGAAGAAAAGCTCTGGTTTATATTCATAATCGAAATCATGGCGCTTGGATTGTTGCTCTTTTTTCATTACGAAGATTTGAGCATTTTTATAACGGCAAAAGAAAAAACACTTAAAAATCTAACAAATTTTTTTATTCTCAATGGTTAGTTTTTAGAACTATTCTTTTAAATAAAAAATTATTTCATTATTTTCTTTCTCATTTAAATAATTAAGTTTTTAAACAATTTTTTTAATAAAGAAACCGTTAAACTTTTTTTTTGAATGATTAAAATCCTGAATTTTTATAAACATGATAAATATTTACTAGTCGGTTAATGTAATTTTTTTGGATAAAAAGATGCATATAACCAATTTTTAAAAATAAAATTATTTCTTTATTAAAAAAATGTTCATGATGCTAATCAATTAAAAGAAAAAAGTTTAATGGTTTTTCATTCAAAAAAATAGTTCAAATACTTAATTCAAAATGAAAAAGTTTAATGTTTTTTCATTCAAAATAATAGTTCAAATGTTCAATGACTAAACTATTCAAAAAAAAAAAATCTTGGATCTTTTTGAAAATTTTCCAAAATATTATTTGTAAACTTATAAACTAAATAATCCTTATTGAAATTTGGAACTTATATTAAATTTTCGTTTTATTTTTTGTTTCTGTCGATATAATACGGTTTTTATATGGTTTTGAAAAAGTGATAATGTTTTTATTTTTGAATAAAATAATTTTTTTTAAAATATGTTAATCTTTATTTCTTAAATATTAATATAATATTAAATTTTCATAATTATATATACATATACTATATTATAAAACATTTGACAAAAACATTTAAAAACTATTTTTTATGCATGAACTACTCTTATTGATACACATTACTGAAAATTCAAGATTACAAGTAAATTGTGTGTAAGTACAACTTATTAAAGCTCTATTTTTTAATTCGTGTAACTAACTGCAGATAAACATAATCAAATATAGGATAAACATCTAATTTTAAATATAAAAAATCTAAAATATAATTAAAATAAGCATTAAGTTCTAAGAGAATACTTAATTATTATATTTATAAAAAATTATATTATTAAACCAAAAACAGAGTACTTTGTTATTAAATCTAAATTAAATTATAATAAAAAATGAATTAAAGAAATTACACAAAAAACGATAACTTTTAAATAATTAGCTTGATAATAATATCAATATATTTTTTTACAAATTTTCATGACATCTTCACAGTTATATTTTATTCAAAAATAAAAACATTCTCGTTTTCTCAAAACCAAATAAAACTGTATTATATCGACAAAAAAAAACAAACACTAAAATCGAGATGTATTTCGTTACATTGTACAAGTATCTTTTTAATGTATATATATGTGTGTATATTTATATTGATTAAAAAGTTTAATGTATTAAGTATATTTTATATTAATTTTCAATTGTAAATTATATTCAAGTAATTTAATTTTTTTTATTAAAAATGAAATTTAGTAAAAACAAAAATACGAAATATACTATTATAACTTTGGTCGACGAAACTTGAACATACATAAGAAAAGATTTGTATAATCATAAAACGTTTAACAAAATGAAACTTCATCAGCAAAAAATTTAAGAAACAAAATATCAGTTATAGCTTTGTGCAAAGTTAATAACATAAAACCGAATATAATAACATAGATTCATAGAGAAAAGATAAAGATGCTCACATTTAACTTCAAAATGCATTAACATAACATTTGTGGGAAAAACTAATCTAAGGGGCCATTTACCAAGCGCTTACATGAGTAAGCGTTTACCAAGTAACATTACATCACCGTATGAATATGGTAAAGACTAAGAATCTTACCCGGTAAGAGCGAGACAAGGACCAAGAGTCTTACCCGATAAGTATATATGCAACGACTCTTATCACGGTAAGCGCTTACCGGGTAAATTGTTGCATACGATGTCGTTTTTGTGGACTAAAATCTTACCCGATAAATAAATAATAGTGTTAAATTTTACCGGTAATCATTTATAGGGTAAGTGTTTGGTAAACTTCTGGATGCATGTTATCTTCTAGAATTGAAGTATTATACTTTAATCTACTTTCAAATGTAATTAGGTTTTTAAAAATCATAAATAATATTTAACAAAAAGGGTAAGACTTAATCTATTCAGACATCATTTTACCCATAGAAATGTGATTTAATTTAAAATAGATTAATATATAAGTTTTCATCACAGATCTTCTAGAAACCCTTGACTAATAAGTCGTCACGAGAAAAAAATGTTGTTATAGTTATATTTTCATTTTTTAATTATCATTTATTTATTTTATTTCAAAATAAAAACCACTAATACAGATTGTTGATCTCTCTTTTTCACGTTTGAGAAGAATAAGAAGAGATTTTTACCCTTAGATGTACATTAGGATGAGATACACCAGCTCAATTCTCGTATCAAGCGCAGTTTATGGATGTGTTTGAGATTAAAGATGATCAAAGGTCTAGATCGTTTCTTACGCTTCTTACCTTAACTCTCCTCAAGGCCGTTCCGAGAGGAGGGCGAGTCGGGCGCATGCCTAGGACCCAAAAGAAATAAGGGCCCAAAGCTTTATAATATACTAGTTGTGTACCCGCGCAATGCAGCGGGAGCCATGAATTTTAACGATTTTGAAGTTCCACTGATTTTATAAGATAAGATTTAACAATGATATAGGTTACACTTGGTCTTTACATATTAATACAATTTGAATAAATAAGAGTTATGGTTCCAATTACAGACTATCGATGAAAAAAATTGTACGACAGTTTAAAATCCAACATATTTAAACAACTCCACAAATGTGTTCGATTTA